TCCAGTGTGGACTGCTTGTCAGTTCCTATAGTTCTCATTTGCATTCTAGCTGTCCCCAAACAACTGCCCCACTTGCTGCCTAACCCACACTGTGCCTATAATTCTTGCTTTCCTGGTGATTAGAATCAATAAGAGTGCCCCCTGCTGCTTTCTGTTTGAAAAAGAAAAACTGTGAAGAGAAGTCCAAAGGGATCTAGATTATTTGGTTTTTCTAAAAAAAAAAAAAAATAGGCATTAATTGTTTAATAAAGATATTTTTTGTTATTTTTTTCTCTTAATTTACTATAGAATGAGATGTTCTAAGCATTTTTCATAGGATTTCCAACCTCATTTTACAAATGAGCAAACTGAGTCTTGGAGAGGCTAATAATTTACTCCTGGGCATCTAACTTGAGACAGAATTGAAATCTTAACCCAGGAGAATTTAACTCCCAGGCACATAAATATCCTGCCTTCAGGGTTATATTACTTTCCTACTACATTGAAATGAAATATTAAGTTTAGATTATCATTATCTTCTGTGTTTCCTATGCCACCACATCAACTTCATGAAATTTACTGGTAATTTTGGTCTCATTCAGATCAGGATTCCAAACATATATACAAGAATAGGCAAAAATAGGTCTACAGTTGCGAGTCCAGGAAACACAGAGTTTATTGGGCTGTTGTAATCATCATAACCTGCATGTCTTTTTCCGTCTGAACAACTGTGAACCTCCTTTTGCTCAGCCCCTGTATCGAGAAGAGCAAGAACTATTCTGTCTCTTAAAACAGATGACATTTAACATTTCATTGTCATTAATGTGGCATTTTCATCCTCTGGCCTTTATCTGTGATGGAGTGCGTTCCCGTGCACTTTCATCTGATCCCTGCCTCTGAGTGTGACAGGTGGAGGAGCAGGTGCGGGAGGCCTCCTGACCCTTCTGGGGCTGCGGTGGCCTCCAGGGAATGAGGTCAAGGGGAAGTACAATGCCTCCTCATGCTGGCTGCAGGTTTGAAGCTCTCTGTGAGCAGATTCTGAGAATACTTTTTACTCCAGGGGAATGCTTTATGTAGTGCTCTCCCTTGGTGCCCTCTTTGCCTCCATGGAGGATTCAGAGCTGCTTCTGTAACCCAGCCACACACGCCTACAGCATTTTATAATTCCCTGCTCTTGGCAAAATGTGGCATCCTATCCTTTTCCTTAGTTCTTTGCCATTTAGGATGCAATGATGAAGAACATAGGTTTTTCTCAACTGAGGCAATCACTCCAGTTAACTGCATGCATACCTTCTTAGAGATATTTCTTGTCTTAGAATTACTAACACACTAGAGGGCTGTTGCACTAAGACAGTGGTCAGCAAACTCATTAGTCAACAGAGCAAATATCAACAGTACAACGATTGAAATTTCTTTTGAGAGTCAAATTTTTTAAATTTAAATTTCTTCTAACTCCATTTCTTCAAAATAGACTCGTCCAGCTGTGGTATTTTGTGGAAGAGCCACACTCAGGGGGCCAAAGAGCCGTGTGTGGCTCCTGAGGTGCAGTTTGCCAACCACTGTGCTAAGAGATTGGTGCAATAGGCCTTCCTTCCCCTGGCTGCTGGCACCGTTTTTCCTCTGGAACCCGGGACCCAGGCCTTCTCTCTGACCACTGCCTTAAGTCTTCGCTTTGGGCTGAGCACAGCTCCTGTAGCTGCCTCTGCTCCTACCCTTCTCCTCATAGCAGGCAACTGGCTGCTCTGTGCCTGCATGAGGCTGCCCAGAAGCCCAGAGTGGCTGGGGATCAGGGCCATATATCCATCTTTGTCGGGCTAATTTGCATACTCACTTCTGATTGGCTGGTGGGTGTCATGAAGGTATGGTCAATTTGCATGTTTCACTTTTATTAGTGTAGATTAAATTTCATTACCAGTGTTATCAAGTGAGCCATAGCAGTGGTTTTCAGTCATATAATATTCATAGTTTTTTAGTAGCAAGCAGGCCTCATATTAGGTCATCATAAAGTTTGTACGTTTAAAAGTTTTAAAAAGTATAAAGCAAGTAGTTTCTTTGTCATTGTGAAAATCCATTAAACACTTCCTTAGAGTAAAACCAGTATTTTCCTGTGTTTTTTTTTTTTTTTCTTTTTAAGTTTTTGCAGCAGATGGGGATTTCTTTTCTGAGAGCCAGATAGCCTTTTTTTGCCATATCATCTCCTATATCCTATTTATTTTTGTATGAAACTTTGAAATAACAGCAGGTAAAAATAATAGACAAAAACTTAGCCAAATTATTCCAACTACTCTGAATGGGAATTATTATAATTGCTGTATAAACAGCTGATCTGCAATTTCAGTAATTGACATATGGGAGTCACTACCCTTCATAACTTCAGAAATTAGGGCTTCTGCTAGAATGAAATTCACCCCCCCACACACACCTGTTTAATAGGAATCAATGCTGGGGATACTAGTGGTCCATGAACTGTGCAAACAGGCTCAGGTTTCTGCAAAGCATCTTCCTCATTCTCTGTCAGTTGATGCTGTTAATTTCTTGGGTTTGGGAAATGCCCTTTGAAAATGGGTGAGTCCATTAAAACAGGGTGTTTGAATTAAATTACATTACTCTGCATCTTATATTATTCTGCTTATTTCCTTCATTGCAGTTGTAATGTAAAGCACTTTTTTGTTGTTGTTAATCCTCACCAGAGGATATTTTTCCCATTGATTTTTAGAGAGAGTGGAAGGGAGAGGGAGAGACAGAGAGAGAAACATTGATGTGAGAGAGACACATCGATTGATTGACTCCTACACACACCCTGACAGGGGGTCAGGGATTGACCCTGCATTGCAAGGCACATATCCTTGACTGGAATTAAACCTGTGACCCCCTTAATCAGAGGGCTGAGACTCTAACCACTGAGCAAAATTGGCTAAGGCTTAGAGCACTTTTAAAAAATGTACTTATTTCATATTTTCTTCACTAGATTATAAGTGTGTTTCTTTCACTACTCTGTCTCCATTGATCAGGACAGTGTCCAACTCACCTTGGTCCTTGGTAAATATTTAGTCAGTGAGCAAATGAATATTGTATTGCTATTGGCTTTTATACCAGGAGTTCGACTCCTTGTGAATAAGGCTATAAATATAAGTAGGACATTGAGGTGCTTCTGCCCTTGGGGCATTTACATTTAAAGTAAAATAAGGACAGACCATGATGCACTCTGGGCGGGGCACTGTGAGGCCAGTGAAGTATTTTTTTTTAATTGCATGGGTCCAGGATGAGGAGGAAGAGGCAGTTTTGTTGAACACATGGGTCCTGATTGCATATGCGCCCTTCCTAGCACTTCTTCCAGAGCCTGCGATCCTCAAAGAGAGCCTAGATTGGGATCCAAGAGTTAGAAACAGGAGCAGTACAATTCCAAGGAGAGCTCACACTTTGTGAGTGTTTGCCCTGTGCTGGGCATGGTCTTGGGAGCCTTCTGTGTGTTATTGGAACTTCATCTTCACAACATTCAGAACAGACAGGAGTGTTCCTGTCCCCCTTATACACATAAAGGAAGGTACTGGTGTTAGGGGTCAGGATTTGAAAGTCCTGGTCTTCACCGCTGTACTGACTCTAGTTATTGCGCCCCTGGTTCCCGGGTTTGGTATCTGGTGCATTTCCGCAGTTCTGTCTGTGAGACGTGGACTCTGGGTGGGATAGACTGAATTTGTTCAAACCCACCTCAGCCCTCATAATGATGCATCCTGAGAGGAGTGGTGGGTGCAGAAGAGGTTGTAATGCTCCGCTAGGATCCTCTGTGATAATCAGAAGACATCTGCAAGCAGTCTTGGCTCTCTGGCTTGGCTTCGGGGCCTCACACCTTTGATGCTTATGTCTTGATTAGAGAGCCAGCTGGCTTCTCACTCCTCTGATTCCACCCCCGGGAGGGCTCTTGTTGTTCTTCCTGCCATAGATCTCCCTCTCAGGAACAATTTGCTCAATCCTTGCCCCCCTGGACATGGTGTGTCTCATTAGCCCTGCATGTGCAGTGCATTCTCCGACACGGGCATGCAAGTCAGATGTAGTCAATGGACATTTCACTGGCATTACCTGACAGATGCTGACACCTGTACTAATTGAGTGAATAAAAAGAACCCACTGGCTCCGTTCATAACTCAATAAAGCAAGGAATGCAAAAGTGAGCACGTCTTTGGATCCATTTATTTCAGGGAATTGGGACAGGGAAGGACGAGTTCATTCGAGGTAGAGGAAGCTACGTGTGAGAGGACACACTCCATGGCTCGGTGCAGGTGGGAACTTCCTGTGGTTGGGCATGACTAGGGTTTTGAACGTGACTGGAAACTAAAAAGCTAGGCAGTGAATGTTTCTTCATGATAATACTAAGCTAATGCACACACACACACACACACACACACACACACACACACCATGTTTCTAAGTGGTTTCCCAGAAAAAGACTTTAGATCTTTCCATTTGTGGATCATGGGATATCTTTTCCTTCCTCGTGATTAAGTTGTCTTCCCTCTCCCCCTCCCTCCATTTAAATGCCACATGTCCATCTTTTTACCGGTGGTTTGGTGGTCAAGACGTTACCCTGTTTTGACTTACTTATTACTAATGGTCGTAATTGAATGTGCTATTCTCTCTCTCTTTTTTTTTTTAATATATTTTATTGATTTTTTACAGAGAGGATAGAAGGTTAGAAACATTGATGAAAGAGAAACATTGATCAGCTGCCTCCTGCACCCCCCTCCCCCACAGGGGATGTGCCCACAACCGAGGTACATGCCCTTGAAAGAATCGAACCTGGGACCCTTCAGTCCGCAGACCGACGCCCTAACGACTGAGCCAAACCGGTTTCAGCCAAATGTGCTCTTCTTACCTGGAGAGGCAGTAATGGGAAACAAGGACAGAGCCTGTTGGCCTGTCACTGGGAAGTTTAGACTACTGGCCCATCTTGGTCTCTCAGGAGCATTTGGATGAAGTAACACAGCTTGCTAAGAGGTTTCTTTTCTCTCCCGCTCACCTGCCAGTTAGGGGACGTGATGGTGGACATCGCAAGCAACATCATGCTGGCCGATGAGCGCGTCCTGTGGCTGGCCCAGAGGGAGGCGAAGGCCTGCAGCCGGATCGTGCAGTGCCTGCAGCGCATCGCCACGCACCGCCTGGCCAACGGAGCCCACGTGTACTCCACAGTAAGCGCCGCATGGTTCTAGAATGCCATTCTGAAAAGTCCTGTGCTTTACTGGACATTTTTTTATACGGGGACTTGGTCCACATGTGGTACTCAGAAGGGTGCCTTGCCTATAGAGTAGGCATGCACTGACCCATCCTTCATAGTGAAAGAGACTCTGTATTGTCCTCTACGGTCAGTTCTGTCACCTCCCTGGGTGTGCCCTCTCTGCGTGGTGCTGAGATGGGAGTGATGCTGGCAGGCCTCCGGAAGGGGAGTGGAGGCTACAGAATCCACATGGCCTACATTTAGCAGACCCCTAAGTTCAGTCTCACTCGTGAAGTTTTTAAAATTGTTTCTTTTTTTCTGTTTTTTTTTTCATTTTTTAATTGAATTTATTGGGGTGGCAATGGTTAAGGAAAATTTTTTAATTTTTTGAGGTAACTTGAACTGATTTTTGTACATTGTATTGTATGTTCACCACCCCAAGACAAGTCTCCTTCCATCACCTTGTAGCCTCCTTTACCTTCTTCTGTCTCCCCACCCTCCTTTCCCTCTGCTAATCATCATACTGCTGACTACCTATGGGGTTTTTTATTTGTTTGTTTGCTAAATCCCATAGCTTTTTCACCCAATTCCCAACTTCTCTCCCCTCTGTCAGCTGTCAGTCTGTTCTTAGTATCAGTGAATCTGTTTTTGTTTTGTCAGTTTACTTTTTCATTAGATTCCATATAGAAGTGAAAACATGTGGTACTGTATTTTTCTGATTGGTTTATTTCACTTAGCATAATGTCCTCCAGGTCCATCCATGCTGTTGTAAAATGTAAGATTTTCCTTCTTTTTACAGCTGGGTAGTATTCCATTGTGTAAATGTACCACAGCTTTTTTTTTTTTTTTTTAATCCACTCATTACTGATAGATACTTGATATGCTTCCAAATCTTAGCTATTGTAAATAATGCTGTAATGAACATAGGGGTACATATATTCTTTGAAATGAAGGTTTTGGGTTTCTTCAGGTATATTCCCAGAAATGGAATTGCTGGATCAGAACACAGTTGTATTTTTAATTTTTTGAGATAGCTCCATACCGCTTTCCACAGTGGCTGCTCCAGTCTGCATTCTCACCAACAATGCATTAGGGCGGTGGTCGGCCAACTCATTAGTCAACAGAGAGGCAAACCACGACTCAAGAGCTGCATGTGGCTCGAGAGCCACAGTTTGCTAACCACTGCATTAGGGTTCCTTTTTCTGCACATCCTTGCCAACACCTATTTGTTGATTCATTGATGATAGCCATTCTGACAAGTATAAGATGATACCTCATTGTGATTTTAATTTGCATTTCTCTGATAATTAGTGACATTGAGCATCTTTTTGTGTGTCTTTTGGCCATCTGTATGTCCTCCTTAGAGAAATGTCTATTCAGGTCCTTTGCCCATTTTTAAATTGGATTCTTTAGTTTTTTGGTATTGAGGTTTATAAGTTCTTTATAAATTTGAGGTTTAACCCGTTGTCAGATATATCGTCAAAAATGTTCTCCCTTACAATGGGTTGTCTTTTTGTTTTGTTGATGGTTTCCTTTGCTGTGCACGAACTTTCTACTTTGATGTAGTCCTATTTGTTTATTTTATTTGTTTGTTTGTTTCCCTTGCCCAAGGAGATGTATCAGAAAAATACTGCTACAAAGGAGTGTTTGAGATTTTACTGCCTATATTTTCTTTTAGTATTTTTATGGTTTGAATCTAACATTTAATCCATTTTGAGTTTATTCATTTTTATGGTTAAATAAGATGGTCTAGTTTCATTTTTTTTTGCATGTATCTATACAATTTCCAAACACAATTTATTGAATAGACTATTTTTACCCCATTGTATGTTCTTGATTCCTTTTTCATATATCACTGACCATGAAGTATGGATTTATTTCTGGGCTCTGTTCTGTTCCCTATATGTCTGTTTTTTCTGTCAGTACCATGCTATTTTGATTACTATGGCCTTGTAGTATAGTTTGATATCAGATAGCGTGATTCCTCTAACTTTGTTCTTCTTTCTCAAGATTGCTGTGGCTATTCTGTATCTTCTGTGGTTCCATATAAATTTTTTGGAATATTTGTTATAGTTCTGTGAATAGGAATTGCATTGAATCTATAGATTATTTTGGTTAGTATGGGCATTTAAAGATCCTAATTCTTCCTGTCTACAGACACAGTATATGCTTCCATTTATTTGTATCTTCTTCACTTTCTTTCTTCAGTGTATTATAATTTTCCATATTTTACATCCTTGGATAAATTTATTCCCAGGATTTTTTTTTTTAATTTAGTGATAAATGGGATTGTTTTCTTATTTTTCCTTTCTGATAGTTCAGTATTGGTGTATATAATTTTAACTAGTTTCTGGATATTTATTTTGTATCCTGTTACTTTACTGAATTTACTTATCAGTTTTAGTAGTTTTTTGGAATCTTAGGGTGGCTCTATATACAGTATAATGGCAGCAGCACCTTGGAGTGAGCTGTGTAAAATTTTTATCTGTGCAACTTAATGCAAAGAATTAACTAGATCACCCTGTAAAAGAAAAAGTGATGACTATGACATGAAGCGCTGAACAAGGTGACTTTTAAGTGAATCTCCTAAATCCTTATTACTCTTCCTGTAGTGCCATCATTAAAAGGGGCTGACCCATATCTCTAGATTTTATAAGACATTTCCTTTTCAGCCTACTGTTTTCTGCAAGGCGCTCTTAAAATAAATTATTTTTAATTGACTTTGGATTTATGTCTGATCCTCCCCACTTAAGACTTACTCTTTTCCTCTTCAGGGGTACCTTTCTATTTTGTGCTTTTGTTTCCAATATCTTTTAAGGCACATATCCTATCCCCTTTTTCATCTGGCTGCATAGTGTCTTTGTTCAGTAAGAATCTAAGTGTTCTCTTTGAATGTACAAGTGTTTTGCATTTGAAATTTCTTTGCACATGCTTCCCCCACCCCACCCCACCCCTACACACACACACATTGTAAATCTCTTATAACTCCTGTTTGGTTGACTTTTCAAGTATTCTCCCAATATTGCACTGGAAGCTTATGTCATCAAGGCGACTGGCTTCACCGGAATGACATGCACCGTGTTCCAGAAAGTGGCCGCCCCGGACCGCACAGGCCTGTCTGACTATGGGAGGCGGGACCCCGATGGAGGCCTGGATAAGCAGCTGAGCTTCAAGTGCAATGTTTCCAACACGTTCTCCAGTCTGGCACTGAAGGTACGTGATCACCTCTAAGCACTTCAGACCCTTTTCCGTTTGGCACTCAGCATGGTCTGCATTGCAGAATAACCTTAATAGACGTCATTTGGGGGCAGGGATCCCTGTATTGGTATGATTTTCGCTGTTGTAAAATAAATTCAGACCAGGAATGGCTATGGGATAGCTTCCTAGAGCCCAGGCATTTTTCACCCCTTGGACTCCTTGCTGCGTTCAAAAATATCAAAGTTGAATCTTTGACGACTTCTGTGGTAGGAAGATGAATACATTAATATTACAAAGTGAAACATTTTCTTTGACCTTACGTTTCCTTTTTATTGCTCCTGATTTTATAGACATGAAAGTATCACGTGCTTTTGGCTGTGGGCCCACTGGACCTAGTGGGAAATCAGCCTTGAGACAAGGCAGTTAATCAGGCAACCTGTATATCAAGATTCTTGGCAAAGAAGTCCTACGTGATATGTTTTAAGAAAATGTGTGGTTTTTTTGCAGCAGGAAAAAATCAGAAGCATTTTTATTGATTTTATTATTATTTTTTTAAATTTGGGGTTTAGATGTGTTTCATTGAACTACATTGAAGCAAATAGTGGAGGTCCCTAATGTGACCACATTTTTGTTTGTTTGTTTGTTTGTTTGTTTGTTTCACTTGGTGTGGCCATGTGTGACTGTGTTCTCTGTAGATGTTGATTATTAAGTACTTTCTCTGGCTTTTTTCTGAAGTGTAGGTCACAGGCAGTATGGCAGTCACTTAGAGGGCTGCATAGTAATTGATCACATAGGCGCGAGGTGTTGATGCATTGTAGCCATTCAAGAAATATTGAATGGGTGAGTGAATGAATGAAATAATGGAGAGTTCATGTATTTTGTCATACCTTACCCTGGTGACCTCCACAGAGCAAGCCAGTTTGGTAAATTCAAAAACGGGAAATTCCACCACCACCCGAGACATTCTCAACTGGGTCAGGATGGTTGATGGTCATCTGTGTACTGGGTACTGTGTACTCAGAGGGAAGTTGTCATGATGCATGTGTTCTTCTGGGCTCTGTGAGCACGTGTGATGTACCCAGCAATACTGCTGTAGGCCTGCTCCTTGGGTTATTGCATTTTTCATTGGTGAGGAAAACCACAAAAGGAATAGAAACAGCATCGCACACAAGCCCATGAGAGAGAGGTGTGTGTCCTTGAGGAGCACCTGCAATTGAGGAGTCCTTCCATCTGAGGGGATCATAGTTGGTTAAAAAATGGCAAAACCCTATATATTATATCAATTACGGTACACAATCTACCCTTTGGGTAAGAAGTGTTTCTACTTGCTAAGAGTAGAAAGCTTTAAGTGAACATTCACATGTGTCAATTTCACACATGTTCTACCCTTTTATGATCATTTTGTGTCCAGAAACCAAGAACACATTCCACTATTATCCAAGCTTCATACGTGGCCATGATTCAAACGGAGTAAAAGAGGAATGTATCCTTTGTGACACAAACTCAGTATAATGTCGGCAGCTCACAATGTTTTAGCACTTTAACGGAAAACTTGGCATTTAGTTGGCTAAATTCAGAAACTTTATAACCAGGACAATTTATATTCATTGTGCCTGTGCTTTTTTTTCTGCTCCTGAATGCTTTGAATATAGCAGTAGGTAACTTGAACATCCAATAATTGATTATATTGCCCTACAGTGAGAAAATATGTTAGCATATGAAGTTAAATCCATAAAAAAACGCAGTCCTTACCAATGTAGGGGCCATCCTTGATTGCTTTCTACCAGCGTTTTGGAAGAATTGGTTCTTTAAACCTTTCTTGACAGTAATGTAGAAATCAGTTTTTACCTATATGTCACCTATTTCCCTCATCTCAGACACACACACACACACACACACTAGAGGCCTGATGTGCGAAATTTGTGCACGGGAGTGTGTGCCCCTCAGCCCAGCCTGCACCCTCTCCAATCTGGGACCCCTCGAGGGATGTCCGACTGCCTATTTAGGCCCGTTCCCAGGGATCGGGCCTAAATGGGCAGTCGGACATCACTCTGGCTCCCAACTGCTCGCCTGCCTGCCTTCCTGATTGCCCCTAACCCCTTCTACCTGCCAGCCTGATCATCCCCTAACCACTCCCTTTCTAGCCTGATGATACCTAATTGCCCGCCCCCCCCCCCCCCCCGCCAGCCAGTTTGCCCCTAACTGTCCTCCCCTGCAGGCCTGGTCCCCCCTAACTGCTCTCCCCTGCAGGCTTGGTCACCCCTAACTGCCCTCCCTTGCAGGCCTGATTTTCTCCCTTTCCCCCACAACTGATCTCCCCTGCAAGCCTGGGTCCTTCCCAACTGCTCTTCCCTGCAGGCCCAGTTGCCCCCAACTTTCCTCCTTTGCTGGCCTGGTCACCCCTAACTGCCCTCTTCTGCAGGCTTGATCACCCCCAACTTCCCTCCCTTGTAGGCCTGGTCCCTTCCAACTGCCCTCCCCTACTGGCTATCTTGTGGCAACCATCTTGTGTCCACATAGGGGCAGCCATCTTTGTGTGTTGGTGTAACAGTCAACTTGCATATTACTCTTTTATTAGATAAGATTTTGCTTCCTGCCTTCATTTCTGCCCTTTTCTGTGCCCTCAGCACCATCCCTGCTCCTCTCCCAGTAAGCCTCCATGCACATGGCACCATATTTTCTTCCTCAGAATTCATCACTGCCTGCCAGTCTCATGGTGCCTTGTTCATTCTCGAGAATAATTAGAAGCCAATGTGATGGTGAGTTGAGTTATAGGGCGGAGAGAGGCCACAGCATATGATGACTAAAAATGTGGGCTTTCTAGATTCACATTCTGCTCCCCCAGTTAATGGCTGTGCAAACTGGGGCAAGTACTTAACCTCTCTGATGTCAACTCCTCATCTGTTACACAGGAATCATGAAATGGTATGTAACTCAAAGGATTATTAAGAGGATTAAATGAGGTAAATGTACAGACATTAACAACAGTGGCTGGCAGAGAATAAGCTCCTAATAAATGTTAGCTCTTATTATTGCTTCATTATACTTGTGGTCCCTCTCATTAAATTATGGATATTTGAAGGCTGGAACCTTGACTTATTTTATTGTGTATCTCTAGTGCCAAGCACAGAGCAATGAAACATTCAGTAAATGTTGAATAAAAATTAACAGCCATACTTAATTAGCAAAGAAAGTCAGTTTAAAACATTAATTCTAAAGGCAAACATAATCCCTGTTCATCTTTAGTGGTGAAATAATCAAAAGGTGGTATGCAGCTCAACACCAAGTAGACACAAGAAAACAATTAGGATGCGTCATCATATCTATCTGTTTGAAATCCAGTGGCTGAGGGTTAAGAAACATGGATAAATTAGTTTTTATTCTTTTAAATCGTGTGGCTCTTTGACTCTAATTTTAGTGATAGACTTAAACAAATTAGGATTTCAGAGAAATTTATCAATTACATGGTGGTGGGACTCCAGATTGTTCTATAAGGAATGATGTTGAAGTCTAGAAGGATTTGAGTGAACATCACTTAGCATACGTCACATGTTCTTCTCATCTTAATGTCATTATAAATAGATAAATATATATATAGGAATTTAGCAATTTAGCAAATTAAGGCATTTTAAAAGCTCCATGATAACATTGATTTTATGTGTGTTCAGACTTAGTCCATTTTTAGTATTGAAATTAACACCAGAATTGTAAAAGTGAAAACATGAGGAGCTTCTAGATGATTGTGGGAAGTCTTCTCCTCCCTCTTCGCTCCCTCTTCTGCCACCAGATAACCACTTGCCACACTGCAGCATTAATAATAAAAATACTGCCCATCTCGTGTGGCTCAGTGGGTGAGTGTCCACCTATGAACCAGGCGGTTATGGTTCGATTCCCAATCTATGCATGCCTCTATTGATGTTTCTATCTTTCCCTCTCCCTTCCTCTCTGAAATCAACACTAATATATTTTTAAAAATAATCATAGTGCCAAAACCAGTTTGGCTAAGTCGATATGAGCGTCGGCCTGTGGACTAAAAGGTCCCAGGTTCGATTCCAGTCAAGGGCATGTACCTTGGTTGCTGGCACATTCCCAGTGGGGTTGTGCAAGAGGCAGATGATTGATGTTTCTCTTTCATTGATGTTTCTAGCTTTCTATCCCTCTCTCTTCCTCTCTGTAAAAAAATCAATAAAATATATTTTTAAAATTTTGAAAAGAAATAATCACAGTAAAAATACCACCCGCTCACAGTATCTTCGCTTTCTGTTTTTGTCATGGCCACGATCCCACTGGGCCCTCACGTGTGTTTGTTAGAAAGATAGCTACTGGGTTTGGAAATGTCCCAGAGCGGGCAACAGAACTGGGCAGTGCTGGGCAGCTGCTGACTGGTGAGGCTGGGGCCCGGGTTCCGGCTTCCCAAAGGATTCCCACAGTAACGTTCCTCATTTATTAGCTATAATTCATATGTTTATATCTATTTCCATTGCTGTGATCCATACTTTCAAAAATTAATATGTTTAAATGAAATTATAAACGCTATGATTCTGCACTTCAGGCCATTTGGCAAACGATATAATCATGATAAATGTAAAAAACATAAGTGTCTCAGTGATTTTTAAGGAAAAATAAATAGATTTTTAACCTTTCTGTAATAAATGATCAAAACTTCTTTCAAAAAATTAAATATACAGATATTAAATTCTTAATATAAATCTCTAAACTTTATTGACATAACTGAAGTTTGCTTTTCTAGCACCTCTAGGCTACCCAGTCTCCATCACAAGGAACCTATAATTATTATTTAGTATGTTTATTGGACTCTGCAGGATATTGTAGAAGCCATAAGTATGGATCAGTCTTGAAGGAAGCTTTCATTTTTCATTGACTTATCTATACACTTGGGTTTTTTAAATAGTTGTTTGGTTTTGCAAGTTTAAACTTGTGAAAAAAAAGTTTTTGGAGTTCTAGGAATTATACGTGTCGTTTCATTTTTCGGCTCTCTGTTAGAAAATATTTCTATGATTTGTTTTAAAAAATGATTTATCCTAAGTAATACTTTCCTAAGAACTATGCTTTATTTTCAAGTCATTTTTTTTTTATTGATTGCCTTTTTAGAGGAGGTGGGGGAGGAGAGAGAGAGAGGGAGAGAGAGAGAGAGAATAATTTGTTGTCCCACTTACTTATGTATTCATTGGTTAATCCTTGTACGTGTCCTGAAGGCAGATCAAACTTGCAGCCTTGGAGTGTTGAGATGATGCTCTAACCAACCTAGCTACCCAGCCAGAGCTCTGATTTTGTATTCAAGAACTTTATACTTAAATTTTAATAAATATCTTGTATGTGTAACATTTTTTCAAGAAACCTTTTAATCAATCTGTTGATGTTATTCCTTTCTTTAAAAACATTTTATTTTTTCAATCACCATTTACCCCCTCTATGTTTTTTTCCCTTTTTTGAATCCCTCATTATATACTTGAAAGATATATATACACTTAATTAGAACTGTATTAGATTAATGAATGAGTTTATAATACACATTGTCCCCCTTCCCCAGATTATATTTGTGACAATAGCAGAAACCTTTACATGCATTTTCCTAGATGAAATATTTCTAATATTTTCTAGGTATCTTCAGTTTAAAAATAAGGTTCCATCTGTCACTATTCAAACTCCCAAAATACTTTCATTCAACAGATATTTGTAGGTATCTGCTGTGCTTTCAACATGGTTCTAAGTACAGCAGTCAAAAACAAACTCAAAATTATTCACTTGCCTAAAAACAAAAACAAACAAAAAAAAAAACAACACAAAAAAACAAAAACGTGTGTCATGGACTTCTATTAATTTCATAAACAATAGGCTACTTTGATCAAATACAACTGCCAGGAGCTATTATTAACCTGAAGAGAGGCCTGGAAAAGCCAGTGAGATTATCTGCACTTAAAATTCCTCCTTCTCTAGCTGGAGGGCCAGGCGGTGAGTCACTGTGAGGCTGCCAATGTGAGTTATGCCGGAGATTGTGCAGGAGGGCGCAGGAGTCCAGGAGAGGAAGCAACTAAGAGTAAAAGCAGGAGACTGAGGACTCGGGTAATTAATCATCAAAAAAGAAAAGAAAAAAGAGAGAGAGCCCTTTATAGAGTGTTTTGTAAAGTCCTTCTCCTGGCTGCCAACCTTCCTCATCCTGACCTGTCCTTTACCTTGCCAACACAATTATCCTGCGAAACATCAAATCTGCCGCATTGGAGTTTGCCAGACAGAAGAATAGTGGAGCATTTCGGCCAGGGACACTGGCCAGTGCAGTGTTTCTCACAGGGGCATAAAGAACGGAGGGAGTTCACACAGAGAGAAATTCAGTGTGGCCAGATGATAGTTGGGTGTAGAGAGTGTGAAACGCTGAAGTCGAGGCATAGATTTTTATCCAAATGATATGACGTATTTACTTAGGTTTGGGGCCCACTATTCTGTAATCATTTGAGAGCCAAGAACATGATCAGATTTATTTCTTAAGAGGAAATTCCATTGGCAGCTTGAACATTGGATTGGAGAGAGAGAGAGAGGTTGGTTGGTGCCAAGGGAAAGACTGTGATAAATTCTTAAAACAGGGAGTTTTGCTTGTGATAGTTATTATTTGCCTCCTGGGTTTATAGATTTATTTTTTATTGAATGCTGAATAATTTATTAGTTTAAAATTCCTAATAAAGCAGTCTGCAAAACATGCAGTGACCAGCCAGCATCTTCTGTTGTTTCCTATTTGTGACTCTGTTTTTTTCTAAACATTATGTGTTTCTTAGTCTCAGGGAAACGTCTAAAAGAAGAATTTGCTGAATCTATGCTTCTATTATGTTTGTGCCTTTTCTTTCTCTTGCTGTTTGACAGTTTTGAATCCATCATAAATCACCTTAAAGTTCCATCAACCCAAATTAATTATGCTCACATTTGTGATACGCTACATTTGTACTTATTTACCAAATTTTGTCATCGTAAAATTGTCATCAAGAGTGATCAGAGATTCCTGATCTGTTTAACGCTATCTACTTCCCCAGTAGACGATATATCCTGGGGAAAAAATCACTCTGATTTGAAATTATTTCTTGTTTACTTCTTTAACTTGGAAATCGAGTTTCTTTTCTCTTTATCTTTATAGTCTTTGCCTCTGTGATGATATGTGTTCAGACATCTCACTGAACCGATAAATTGTTTCAGCTATTACACTTCCATGTATACATTTAAAAAAGTATTCAGCATCTATTCAGAAAACATTTGTACACCACTGTAAAATATGCTTGCCGGTTTCTACATGCTAATACCACTACCTTTTCTTTTTGCTGCTGCTGTTCATATTCTTTCAGAACACGATCGTAGAAGCTTCTATTCAGCTCCCACCGTCCCTCTTCTCACCAAAGCAGAAGAGAGAAGTCAGACCCACCGATGACTCTCTCTGCAAGCTCCAGCTCATCGCGTTCCGCAACGGGAAGCTGTTTCCAGCCACCGGGAACTCCACCCACCTGGCTGATGATGGGAAACGGCGCACCGTGGTGACCCCCGTGATTCTCACCAAAATAGGTTTGTACGCGGCATATGGGCATATGCTCTCTGCAACGTGGGTTTGCCAGTCCCTGCTCCTTCAGATGCTTATTGTGGTTCCTTCTCGTCTCAATGAGCCACCAGCAGAGAGAGACTGCACAGTCCCCCCTTCTGCACAGGCTGGCATTTCATTGTTGGCGAAGTTGGTCTCAGAGATGCCTGTCCTCTCCTTCCCTCTAGACGGCGCACCCGTTGGCGGCCACCGTGTCCCCGTGAACGTGACCCTGCGGCGCATTGCGCACGGGGCCGATGCCGTGGCCGCGCAGTGGGATTTCGACCTGCTGAACGGACAGGGTGGCTGGAAGTCCGACGGCTGCCACATTCTCTACTCGGACGAGAACATCACCACCATCCAATGCTTCTCCCTGAGCAACTACGCCGTGCTGATGGTATGGCAGATGCTCGCTTTACCCTTCGTGTTTGCCTGATGCAGAGTTAAGCTCAAGTGAAGATTCAAAAAACAAACACACACAAAACTTTTTAAATCTAGATATATATTACTGATTTTTTTTTACAGAGAGGAAAGGAGAGAGATAAAGAGCTAGAAACATGGATGAGAGAGAAACATCGATCAGCTGCCACACAGAAAACTTTTTACAAAAATTGCTCCCTTTACATAACAGGTGATGTTTGGCGAAATTCTGATTTTAAAAGGAAACCAAGTTCCTACCAAGTGCAAGGTATGGGATGGGATTTGATAGAGGAATTTTCAATAAACTCTGTAAGGGAATCAGTTCACCTAGGTAGACTTTGACCTTAAGGTCTGGAGACATCTTGGGGTCTGTCTATACAGTCCAACTCAACACAGTGACTCATTTGCCCACAGATAATCAGTGAGTAGTGAGAGATTCCCCCTCACCCCTTTGGTCTCCTTTTGAATTTAGGGGAATAGTAATCATTTTAGTTTCGTCTCCTTAAGCAACAGTATTGACACAAATCATGTCTTCCATTTTAATGCTACTCAAGCCAATATTTTCTGTTATTTATCATTATTCATCTTCGGGAAATGACGAGTTATTAATGTATACGGACAGGTCTTTTCATGAACACATTCTTTATGTGAATCTGATCCCCGAGCTAGCAAGTATTGAATTAATCATGCTAATTCTTATTTTATATTGTACTTATTATAAGATACTAACATCCTGCAGCATCCATAGAATGCAGTGGAAGGAATGGCTAATGAACCTGAAAGGCATTTCTCAGGAATGGCCTGAGGCTAGCCTGCGAGTGAGGTCGCCCACGTTTTATTTCTGTCTCCAGCTCTGAATCTGTTATCTAGACAATATTTTATGAAAACCTTAACTAGCCTCGAAATAGAATGCTTTTTGCTGTGTGTGATTTATTTTTTTCTTGAAAAAAAAATTAAAGAGCCTTTACCACTAGAAATGATCTTAAAGCAAGCTTCAAGTAGCATAGATGTTCCTCAACTCTTGTTTCGTTTGTCTCTTGACCCCTCACATTAGTATCTGCTACCTGGCACACCTGTCAAACAGGAAGAGCAAATAGATTGTTTGGCAAGTGTATAAGGTTTGCCTTTTCCACTGACATCAATTACCCAGTGTTATGCATCCCAGCGGACAGAGGCAGGGTCTTCTGTCCTGTTTAGACTCAGTTGTGTTTATATAAGTCATTTATCCTTTTGGGTGTAAAGTTCGTGTTGATAGTTTAGGAGTCTCCTCACAAACAGAGGGTGTTTCATTTCTGTGATTGTGAGTTTAGTTTCTGTAAGTTCACAATGTATTTACTCGTAGTAATCTTTCAATTTAAAGTATGAACCATTGATTAAAGGATGAAGCATTTTCCCTTTCAGTTTGACAGTATTTTCTCATTCAGGTTTTGATTAGAAAATAACCAGAAACTATGAAGCACTGGAGGAGAAACAATAGAGATACAACGTTGTATGAAATTTATATAATAGTTAAGTAGAAAATGTTGGGGGAAATAATTGAGGCACAAAACACACACACACACACACAAAAGGCATTTTATAAGCTTCACTGGTAATGACATGTTACAGTACCATGTGAAACTTTTATTTTTATTTAATCTAATACCCGTTTTAAGCATCTATTTTTTTGAACTTCCTAGCTGTTCTTCTAAACTATTTAAATTAGTATAATCCCTTTTTAGAAGGAATAAGCTATTCTTTTATCTCTCATACTTTAATCTTTTAAAAAATGCTATACACAATTCTTTAAAGCTAAAATATAGTGCTAAGACTTTGTTCTGCTTTCAAAGAATAAGCATTCTTTTGCTTTTCTTAGATATAATTGTGCCACCTAGAGGCTGCAACTTGAAATGTATCTAAAATGTTGACAAACATACATGATAAAATTAGTATGTAGGATTTTTAGAGTTGCTAATTAAACATTAAAGACTATTAAATGAAATTATACATACTCTCAAATAATAAGGTCTAAAATAGAAGAAATTTCTTTTAAAAATTGGAAGTTGGTTCTTGCCAGGTGACTTAGTTAGTTGGAGCATCTTCCCCTACAACAAAAGATTGCAAGTTCAATTCTCAATCTAGGCACATACTTAGGTGTAAATTTGATCCCTGATCAGGACACATATGGAGGGGGCAACCGATTGATGTTTCTCTCTCACACCGATGTTTCTCTCTCTTTTTTTTTCTATCTCCCTCTCCCTCTCCCCCTTTCTCTTTCTAAATAATCAATAAACATATCCTCAGGTGAAGATTAAAAAACAAAATCAGAATTTAACATCTTTTTTTCCCTTACCTGACACTAATTTGAATAATAGATAAAACTCTATTTTTCTTGAAAAATATCTTCATGTATTGTTTTCTATACCAAGTCTAAATTTCTGTTTTTTTTAAGTAGCCCAAAAATCTCCTCCCAATCTGATTTTAAATTGTACTAAAAAATGAGGCAAAAAAAATGTGTTTTTAAATCTCAGATACTGTAGTTTGGTTCAGTAGACATCCTGCCATAATCCATTATATCATAAGGTCTCTGTGAGAGCCAGAGAAAAAGTTAAACAGAAATTGGGTCTGTTTGAATTAGATGATCAGAGAAAGCAGTTGGGTCAGGAAGAATTCTAGGAGCTGGGCCAGTAAGAAACAGACAAACAAAAAAACTTAAATATCAAGAAGGTAATGGTTAGAGTCAAACCATTTATGTAGTGCTTAATACTTTAATTGGTAGGAGTAGCAAAGATAAAATCTCTGTACCTTGAATCATCTTTGTTATTGCCTTCACCTAGAAATATGTGAAATTGTAGAGCACTCATTTGTTCTTACAACTCTAGTGTTGCTTTTAAATGTTGTTTTTATAAACCTTGCTGAATAAAAGCAAAGTTCGGTTTCATTTGCTCTGTAATTGAACATGAGAACTGTGTATGTCATTTTTAAACTGCATGCACATGGATCAAAAGTTATACTTATTTCTGCACATTAATGTACAATGACACTTTGATTCCCACCCCTCTCTCCCATCACATTCTCCACCAAATATGTAACCATCAATTATTGAATATATGTTCAGGCATATTGAAACAAAAATGAATGTATTTTCTTCCATTTTTACAGAAAGCTTCCATGCTACAAACATTGTTCTAAACTGTGCTGCCTTTTTTTTTTCTCATGAAACCACATTTTATGATAATAATGGTTTCCATGGAAAAATATTTTATTTTTTTAAATATATATTTTATTGATTTCTTTACAGAGAAGAAGAGAGAGGGATAGAGAGTTAGAAACATTGATGAGAGAGAAACATTGATCAGCTGCCTTCTTCACCCCCCTCTGGGGATGTGCCCACAATTCAGGTACACGCCCTTGCCTGGGGTCAAACCTGGGACCCTTGAGTCCAACACTATCCACTGAACCACACCAGCTAGGGCAGAAAAAGATTTTATGATGATGACATTTAATGACGTGATGGTGGTAATAATGACAAAGATGGTGGTGATGGCAGTGGCTAATTCACATTAAGCACTTACGTACTAGGCACACTTTTGAAGTCTTTATATATACATTCATTTATTTGGTCATGATAAGAACCTCATGAAGTATAATATGGTTATCTGCCGATGGAAGAGTCAGGGTGTAGAGAGCTTAAGTGCCATGCCCCAGTTTACAAATTTAGTTAGTGTTGGAATTGAAATTTTAATTCAGACTTCAGAAATTTGTATTTAAAAACAAAACAAAACACATTTTTATTGATTTCAGAGAGGAAGAGAGAGGGGAAAAAGAGATGCAAACACCAATGATGAGAAAGAATCATTGATCGGCTGCCTCCTGCACGTCCCACGCTCAGGATTGAGCTCACAACCCATGCATGTGCCCTGACTGGGAATCTAGCCATGACCTTGGTTCATAAGTTGACGCTCAACCACTGTGCCATGCTGGCTGGGCTAAAAGCTTGTGTTCTTAATCACTTTCCTAAATCTTTCTAAAATCTTCTCATATCATAAAAGAGCTTCCTCATCCTTTTTTCACCCTTGAATATCATTTTATGTCCCTATCGTAATTTATTTACATATTCCTCTATTTTTGGGGGGTTCCAGTAATTTGCTTATACAGTATTATTTTGCACATTTAATAGAAAATTTGGAGGATAGGTTCTCAAGTAGAATTGGCAATCAAAAGAGGACCAATGCTTTAAATTGAGATACTGTGCAAAAAGTACACACCACTGAAATGTATGGCTTGCTGATATTTGTACATTGAAAACACATTTAGCTATCATCAAAATCAAAATTCTTATTTGAACACTTGGTAGCTACCATGTGTTTCTTTCTGTTTAATTTCATTCACCACCTCAAGAGATAGGCAACCTTCTGATGACTATCCTGATAGAAAAGTTTTGCCTTATATAATTAGCATCCTATAGTACATACTTTTGTGTGTCTCTTGTCTTATTAGTTATATCTCTGAAATGAATCCTTGTTTTTGCATGTAGCAGCATTCCTACATAGTAATCCATTGTATGAAAATACCCAGACTGTGCCTTCTGCTGTTGATGGACATTTGGTTGCTAGGTTCTGACTACCAAGAAAACACTGCTATGATTATTCATGTACATGTTTTTGGATGGAATTGTTGGATTGAGGCTATCCCTATCTTTAGCTTTAGTAGATAATACCATGCAGTTGACCAAAGTGGTTACGTTGGTTTACGGTTGCACCCGTAATGAGAGTTTGAGTAGCCTCACATCCTTGCCAGTGCTTTGGGATTCTAATTCTTTAATTTTAGTCTTGGTGGCGGGATTATGATATATGATTGTGGTTTTCCTTTGCCTTCCTCCAGTGACTAATGATGCTGGGCACCTCTTCATTTTTTTATTGCCAGTTTCAGGACCCTCTTTTGTGATGGTATTGCCCAGATCTCGCACTTTTTAAAAATTATCTTTGATTTTTTTTTTTTTTATTGAGGTAAGATCGACATACAGCCCTATATACATTTAAGATGTACCACCTAACGAATTGATTTGCATGTGCTGTGATGTGATAACCACAGTAAATTTAGTATACATCCATTATCTCACATGGATTAAAAAAATGATAACCTGCTCTGGCCTGTTTTGCTCAGTGGCTAGAGCGTCAACCTGTGTCCCAAAGGATCCCAGGTTCCATTCCAGCCAAGGGGCACATGCCTTGTTTGCAGGCTCCTCCCTGGCCCTGGTTGGGGCTCATGCATGAGGCAACCAATTGATGTGTTTTTCTCACATGGATGTTTCTCCTTGTCTTTCTCTCTCTCTTCCACTCTCTCTAAAAATCAATGGAAATATATCCTCAGATGAGGATTAACAAAATCAAAAAAGAAGAAATTGTTTTCTCCCCTGTGAAAAGAAGTTTTAGAATTTGTGAGAGTTCCCTCTCATGACCTAATCACCTCCCAAAGGCCCCACCTTCTAGCATTGGCTGTTAAGATCTCAACATATATGAGTGAAGTGGGGGTCAAACATTAAGCCTATGGATATGCCTTTACTCTTTCAATTTTTTTTGACGGGGTTTCTTAATTTTTTTCTGAAATTTTTAATAGCTTTTTATGTTCTATTTTAAAAATACTTGCCCACATCAGGATCATAATGATATTCTCCTTTGTTTTCTTTAAGAAGATTTAATGTGTTTTATCTTTCACATTTAGGTCCAAGATTTGACTGGAAGGGACTATGTATGGTGTGATGTAAAATCTTTAAATTATGCCTTGTTTCTTAGAGGAAATATAAAAAGCAACACAGAAGTCATAGTTTTTTTTTTTAGATTTCTGATTGCAGATCTATTTTTAAATTTTAATGTATTGATAAACTTTTAAAAATAATTCTTTATATTCTAACAGGATGTGCTCTACTTTCTCCCATTGTTCAGTTCCTGTGAAACTAGAGGACTATTGATATATATTTATCCTTATTATTGATACAATGCTAATGAGCTCTTTAAAACTGCCAGTGAATTTATATAGTAATTCTCCGGCTAGAAGTAACTTGAAAATAAAAGAAATATTTGTCTGTCAGGGAAACAAAGATTTTGAAGAACACTTCTTTCATTGAGTTGTGTCCTTAATAATAATCTTTGTGATTTTTAACATACTTTTGGTGTTCTAATACTGCTTAATGTCTGCAGACAACTTTACTTTTCACTCTGAGCTCAGTTTTTTCTTGGACTTTGTACCCTAAAGAAGAGTGACTCAATTACCACTTTGGTGAGAGATTGTGTCCTGTAAGCACTGGAGGCAGAGAAGACATCCTGTCTCATCTCTGTGTTGCAAGTGAGAATGAAGGTCTCACTTTTCCTTCTCACGAGTGTCTCCTAGTGGCCGTTTTTGGACAGTGTATTTAGAAATGCTTTGCTTTTAGTATCATTGTCTGTATTTATTTACTGGTATAATTAAAAATGATTTTGATTCAGATTTCTACTTCTCTTGTTTGAGATCTTAACATTTTTCTTATCCTAATCGCAACTGTCTTAAGTAGTTGTATAGTCTCTGGAATTTTGTGCCATCAAGATAAGCTTTTCTTATTTTGTGTGTTCTCTCTATACCAGGGGCCAGTAAACCTGGCAAGCATTTGACCCACCAATTCAGTCAGGTGCTGTTGGTTTCACTAGGTGTACCAGTTAATAATTCAGATTTTATAATCAAAGAAAACACGATAATTTCAAGACAAACATCAAAAGTACTTTCTTTATTCAAAGTAGTGTCCATCGCTGGCTGCACATTTTCCACATCTTTCAGGTAATTTGTGGATACCGTCCCAATAGAACTTTTCTTATTTTGAAGCAAACCATTCAGAAACTCAATTTTCCACTTCTTCTACATTTTGAAGTGCTACTCAGAAAGCACACATACCATTGATCAGAACAAGTGGTAATCTGAAGGAGCAAGGTCTGGTGAATGCAGCAGATGGGTTAATACTTCCCAGGCAAGATCTTTTACTGTATCGTTAACTGGTTTTGCAGTGTGTGATGGAACATCATCATGAAGCAAAATTAATTGCCGAGTCTTCTGGCTTATTCTGGTCGTTTCACAATCAAAGTGTGGTTCAAATTGATTATTTGTTGTTGGTAGTGATCAGTATTAACAGTTTCACCTGGTTTTGTTACTTCATAATACACCACACCTTCCTGATCCCACCAAAAACAGAGCATTGTCTTCTTTCCAAAGCGATTTGGCCTTGCAGTCAATATTGATGCTTGACCTGGATCAACCCATGATTTTATATGTTTGGAATTTTCAAAGTAAACCCACATTGCATCGCCAGTCATAATTTGATGCAAAAAAGACTTTCATGCCCGTTGAAGCAACATTTTTACTGATGACTTTTCAGTTTTCCATGTGTGTTCCGTTTAGTTGCTGTGGCACCTATTTTCCTTCCGTTAAAATCTTTCCCATGATTTGTAAATGATCTGAAATTGTTTGCTGAGCAACATTTATTCTTTCTGCAATTTGTTTTTGAGTTTGACACGCATCTTCATCCAATAACCCTTTTGTAATTGTTGGTCTTCAAACTTTTTCGGTTGACCTTGACGTTTTTTGTCTTTCTCATAGAAATCATTACTTTTAAAGTGTTTAAACCAGCATTCACAAGTATCTTGAGATGGAGCATGTTCACCATAACCTTCCTAAAGTATACTATAACTTTTTCTTCAAAATAATGTAATGAATTAAAACTTCCCACAAATGCTTTTTTTTGACACGATATTCAACATTTTTAAGCATAAAAATATTTATGATGTTAAAACCTTCAGCAAATTTGACACATGAAGTTTTGAAGCTTGCTGTCCATACAACAAAATAGCATACATATCAAACCGCACATATATCAAACTATGCATAACTCCATCTATTGAAAAAAAATCTGCATTATTAACCAGTACACCTAATAACTGCTGGAAAGCTAAGAGTGATTTGAAAATTGTTAAATGGAGCTTTAAGTGCCCACACAATGGTCTCGGTTTGCTTCATGACATGCAAAGCCCCCAACACTCACTGCCTGGCTCTTTGTACCTCCCCCAGTCTGTGTCTCCACAGGGCATCTCTTGCATGGGGGCAGGTTGGGGTGCTGTGGCCCCAGGAATGACCTGTGGGAGCTGTGCCCTCAGTGACCAGTGACATAGTCCTTGTGTTTTTCTCCATGGGTAACTTTGAATCAGGAGTCACTGATTTCAGAATCGTTCCTTTCGTGCACTAGATCACATTCATTTGGCTTTTGACAAACACATTACTTTTCAATGTAAATATTACAATCTATAATATATTTTGGGAACTCGATTGGTGCTTTGTCCAATGCCTTATCACAGTGGTTCTCAACCTTTGTAATGCCATAACCCTTTAATACAGTTCCTCATGTTGTGCTGGCCCCCAGCCATAGCATTATTTTCCTTGCTACTTCATAGTTGTAATGTAAATATCTGTGTTTTCCAATAGTCTTAGGCTCTACAGCAGTGGTTCTCAATCTGTGAGTTGGGGCCCAGAGCTTGAGAACCGCTAGCAGGGTCGCCTAACACCATCGGAAAGCACAGATATTTACATTATGGTTCATAACAGTAGCAAAATTACAGTTATGAAGTAACTACAACATGAGGAACTGTATTAAAGGGTCACAGCATTGGGAAGGTTGAGAACCACTGCCTTATCTGATAATATCCAGCTACCTGTGTTGTTCCTCTCGGCCAGGGGCTGTGGAAGGCAGGTTTACACCCTCCTCTTGCCCTTACCCCAAGCCTGCCAGATATCGGTGGTGTCTCCACTTGTAACTGCCCCAGCTTAGATAGCCAGCAGGAAAGTGGTGATGTGTGTTGAGCAGGTCCAAGCAGAAGGTGAAGCAGCCAATGCCCGGAAGGAGCCTAGAGGCCACTACAGGGACTGGAGTTTTGTATTCAGTGTGTTGTCGCAGGAGAAAATCTCAGAGGGCATGTGTCCAGAAGAGCTCAGCTACAGCGATGCTTTCTCTCCCCCAAGGACCTGACGGGATCTGAGCTCTACACCCAAGCCGCCAGCCTCCTGCACCCCGTGATCTACACCACTGCCATTATTCTCCTCCTGTGCCTCTTGGCGGTCATCGTCAGCTACATGTACCATCACAGGTGAGGCATAAAGCCTGGCGTGCAGGACATTGATGGAAAGGAGTTTATTTTACATTGCACTAGGATAACACAGTCACATCTGGTCTAATTTCTCCTCCACAAATGGTTGTACGATGTATATATCTTTTTTTTTTTTTTTTTTTTTGTGTGTGTGTGTGTGTGTGTGTGTGTGTGTTTTGCCATCTTTCCAGAATAAGAACAATTATTTTAGAACACATGCAAGCTGTGTTCATTTCATGTAGTTTTTGACATAATTAATACATGAGATGGTCTGTGTAGCTTTTATTTTTATTTATTTGTTTTTTAATATATTTTATTGGTTTTTTACAGAGAGGAAGGGAGAGGGATAGAGAGTCAGGAACATCAATGTGAGAGAAACATCAATCAGCCGCCTCCTGCACACCTCCTACTGGGGATGTGCACACAACCAAGGTACATGCCCCTGACTGAAATCGATTCTGGGACCTTTCAGTCCCCAGGCCAACACTCTATCCACTGAGCCAAACTGGTTAGGGCCAGTGTAGCTTTTATAGCCTCCAGTCAGTTGTGTCTGGGAGAGAATTGGGAAGGAGGCTGGGAGGTGGGGCCGGCAGCCATCAGGGGTGAGGTCAGTTGCAGCTTGTTACCTGGAGCTGGTCTTCCAGAGCCAGAATAGGGGTTTATTTCTGGCTTATGACTTCTTCTCTGTTCTGATATTCTTTATTTTATAGATGGCATTTTTAAGAACGTTTGTGGCATTTAAGCACGAGGTGTGGTTTTTGTTCACTGGGAGCAGAGCTACAGAAACTCTGATGGTAGGAAACAGCGCGCTGAAGGGATTTGCTAAGCAGCAGCCCCGAAGAGGTTTTGATAGAATGTATTTTCCTATTCAAGCCGGACCTGCATGGCATTTCTTGACATTTAGTTAAGAAACAAAAGGCAGTTTTGATATTAAAATAAAAGAAGGAAAGAAATACTTCAGCATTTATTAGGAAAGGCCAAGAAGAAAAGAACTGGGTAGGGGCAGGTAAGGAAAGCGGAGATCGGCACCTTGTAGAAACCGCTAGGAAGCAAACAAGTCATTCACCTGCCACGGACCTCGGCAGTAATAAAAGCCCACATGTTTCTCATTATGGAGAATTTCTTTAGTCCCTAGCGGGGGCAGTCGTTTCACTTATGACTTGTCTTTTTTAGTGGGTAAAGCTAACTGTTAAGAAACAGTGTTGAGTTAAATGAGTTCTCAAAGAGTGTGTGTGTGTGTTTTTGTCTGTCTGATAGCATACAAAATGTGGTATTTTTTTTTTTAATATATTTTATTGATTTTACACAGAGAGGAATTGAGAGGGACAGAGAGTTAGAAACGTCGATGAGAGAGAAACACCGACCAGTTGCCTCTTGCACACCCCCCACTAGGGATGTGCCCGCAACCAAGGTACATGCCCTTGACCGGAATCGAACCCGGGACCTTTCAGTCCGCAGGCCGACGCTCTATCCACTGAGCCAAACCGGTCCCGGCTAAAATGTGGTATTTTTAAGCTTGAAGTTTTGAAGGCAGGTATTGTAGTGTCCTGATCCAAAGGTACTAGCCTGAATATTAATATTTTCCTTTTTCTTTTATCAGTTTGATCAGAATCAGTCTCAAGGGCTGGCACATGCTTGTGAACTTGTGTTTGCATATTTTCCTGACCTGTGTGGTCTTTGTGGGAGGCATCACCCAGACCAGAAATGCCAGTGTTTGCCAAGCGGTAAGTCTGACCAAAAAAACGGAAATGGAAAAGAAGTACTGCTATTGGACAGTGATTTGATATGTCTCATGAACTATACTAGGAAAAAGGTCCCCTTAAAGTTTTCTTTTTTCTTTAGCTAATGTAAGCGGAACGGAATGTCTGTCCCTTAAACAGTCGCCAGCATGCTTTAGGTTTTCTCTTGTCATTTCCTAAGGATTAAAGGACTGAAGGGTCTTGTCTCTGTAGCGTTAGGAATTCAGGGCTACTTGTTGCATCTGTTATAATGCTGAGCATTTCATTTAAAAATTTTACCAAATCCTGACTTTGACTGAAGTCAACGTTTTCTGACAGTAGGATTTTTTAAATTATTTTATTTGGCCCTAGCTGGTTTGGCTCATTGGTAGAGCATCAACCTGTGGACTGAAGAGTCGTGGATTCAATTCCAGTTAAGGGCACATGCCCATGTTGTGGGCTCGATCCCCAGTAGGGGGCGAGCAGGAGGCAGCTGATCAATGATTCTCATCATTGATTTCTCCCTCTCTCTGTCTCTCTTTCTCTCTCTGCATCTCTATCTCTCTTCTCTGAAATCTATAAAAATATATATTTAAAATTATTTTATTTGTTGATAAAAACAATAAGAGTTAGAAAATGATTTAACTTTAAAATAAAACAAGATGCCTCTTAGGTGTGATAAATATGAAGAATTAAAAAGTATTCAACTCTTAATTTTAAATAAATTGTTGTATAGGTAGCCAAAGAATTGTATAGAACAGGGCAGGAGGGGCAGGGGTACTGGTGTGTGACCAGTCCCAGATATAGGAACATGCCTTATATGTATGACCCTGCCACGACAATGGCCTATTCCAGGCACCAGCATGCTGTGGGACATTTAGGAGAAGTACTGGTTTATGTGAGAAGAAGAGCATCCAGGAAGGATCCCACAGTCTCCAAGAGTGTAACAGGAAGTAACCTCCATCCTGGCCCCAGTTTAGCTTGTGAATCCAGAAGCAGTCACATGTGGACCAGTCAGTCATATCTGGACTAATTTCTCCTCTATAAATGGTTGTAAGATTTATGTCAGAGTAAAGGATCAGCTGGGCCGGTGTTGCTTAGTGGTTGAGCCAGGAGGTCATGGTTCAGCTCCTAGTCAGGGCACATTCCTGGGTTTTGGGCTCACCTGCAGCCAATCAGTGATTTTCTCTTTTTATTGATGTTTTTGTCCTCTCCCTCTCCTCTCCCTTCCTATCTCTGAAATCAATAAAAACATTTTAATTTTTTTAAATTTCTTTATTGATTAAAGTGTTACATATGTGTCCTTATTCCCCCACTATTCCCCCTATCCTTCCCACTCATGCCCTCACTCCACTGTTGTCTGTGCCCATTTGTAAGGCTTATACACATGCATACAAGTCCTTTGGTTGATCTCTCCTCCTTATCCTCACCCTCCCTTACCTTCCTTCTGAGTTTTGATGGTCTGATAGATGCTTCTCTTTTCTCTGGATCTGTTTTTGTTCATCAGTTTATGTTGTTCATTATATTCCATAAATGAGTGAGATCATCTGATATTTATCTTTCTCTAACTGGCTTATTTCACTTAGCATAATGCTCTCCAGTTCCATCCATACTATTGCACATGGTAAGAACTCCTTTTTTTTTTTTTACCGCAGCATAGTATAAAAACATTTTTTAAAAGTAAAGGATCAAAGATAGCCAGGACACTTCTGAAGAAGAGTAGAGTGGGGAGGTTATCTGTCCTTCGAGCTATCAAAGCTAAGTAGGCTATTGTAATGAAGCTGTAGCATTTGGTTTAATGATCATTAACTTGACCAATGGTATGGAAGAGAAAGATCAGAAGCAGACCCGTGTGCAACTTTGTATAGAAGACAGACTTGCAAGCTCCTTCACTTGGGTGAAGAGAGACCGCTGTTCAGTAAAGAGTGCTGAGAAAGTCTAGTTAGAAAAAGGTGGACCTGCATCTATATCTTCCTGCCTTATTTAAAACAAACAAAAACCTTAACTCTGAGTGTATCAAAAACTTACATGCCCAGGCCAAAATGTTAAAATTCACCTTCGATGATATCACAATTTGGGGGATAAGGAGGAATGTCTTAAGTATGACACTAAAGAGGCAATGACTGGAAAAGAGATAAATTTAAATTAAAAATAAGACCTTTTTTTGGCTAACATTCCTTAGCAAAAGTGAAAACACAAGACAGTGTTCTCAATACATACCACAGACAGCATTAGAATAAAAAAAAATGTTAAAATCAGTGAGAAGGCCAACACCGAAAGCCCAATAGAACAAAATGACATGAGAGTAGGCAGGCATTTGGTAGGACTGTAAATGCCCAATATGCACATAAAGAGAAGTTGAACACCACTGGTGGTCATGGAAATGCAAGTTCAGATCACACTTAGTTAACATTTTGGCCTTTTCTGGGGGCAAAAATCAAGCCTGACACTGCCAGGCGTTTCACATGTGGATCCACAGGCTCTTTTTATTCATTGTGTGTGGGAAGGTCCCCTGGTGACTCTGGGAGGCTTTACCTTCTCAAGCTGGGTATTCACATACCCTGGGACATGGCTTTCCTATGCCTGGGCTGAGAGACTAAGTCTGTCCATATGTAACTTTGGTGTGCATCTGAGTATGCATGTGCATATGAATATTCATAGCAGCCCTATACACAGTAGCAGAAACCTGGAAGCAACCCAAATGCCCATCACTGAGAGAGGGAATGAATAAACCGTGATATTATACAAGAGTCAAAACTAATGGATTACAGCAATGTGTAACTATGAATATGTCATAGTATCATAAATTACATTTCCTGTTATCTTTTTTCATAAAGATAAGGTAACTGAAATGAAACTACACTTTTAATGAAGTGTGCAATAAAACTGTCATGAAAGGAAAGCAAGGGTATAATAAACATACCATGTCAGGTGGCAGTTACCTTGGGTGATGGGGATCCTGTTTTGATATGGGTTTTTGTCCAGGTCTTAACCTTTTGTCTTGCTGGCAGATTATTGAATACTTATTAACACATTGCAGATGGATGGTGAGAATTCTTGCTTCATATTACATAGTGTTTTACAAAGTATCGTACTTTAAAAAATATATTAGCTTGTAAAAACATGTAATAAATAACTTCAAAATGCAATGGGTATTTAATTTTAAAGCATGCCTTTAACATTTGGGTAAAACGTTTTTTGTACTCATTCAGTAGAAACCTATCTGGCCACAGGGTAAAGCTAGCAATAAAACTATTGATTTGCAACGTGTTAATATGCCTAATATGCAAATTGTCCCTGCGGGAGTTTGACTGGGAGACCAATTGCTCGCTATGATGTGTGCTGACCACCAGGGGGCAGCATGGAATGAAGGAAGGCCCCTTCCAGCAGCCAGAAGGAAGGCCCCTATCAGCCCAGATCACTGGCCAGGCTAAGAGCCCTACTCATGCATGAATTTCATGCACTGGGCCTCTAGTAACTAAATAAATGATTACATGAAGGCAGGCCATGCTTTGTCCAATCATTAATATGTGCCATGAACCTAAGGGAGATGATTTATCCAGTCAAGTATATCTGAGATATCATTTAAAATGTAAGTATAGCCTGGCCATTGTGGCTCAGTGGTTCAGCATCAACCTATGAACCAAGACAGTTTGATTCCCAGTCAAGGCATATGCCCAGATTGTGGGCTTGATCCCCCATGTGGGGCATACAGGACACAGCCGATTAATTATTCTCTCTCATCATTAATGTTTCTCTCTCTCTCTCTCTCTCTCTCTCTCTCTCTCTCTCTCTCTCTCTCTCTCTCTCTCTTCTCTCTCTCTCTCCCTGTTTCTCTCTAAAATCAATAATAACATTTTTTTTTTAAATGTAAGTCTGGACAATATAAGAAGTGCTTAGAGGATTCAATGACTAGAGAGAACAGGACATACAGTAAGTGCTCAGTAGATGCTAGTCGTTACTATTATTGTTATTATTGATGAAATTGCCTCTCAGCTATGCAGGACATATCCCTGTTTTAGGCTGTAACTGTGCACTTGAAAACAACCTTATTTGGTGCCCATTAGAAGTCACTCACTCAGGTCAGTAGTACAACTTAGCCTGTCCCTCCTCAGAGGCTCACTCCACTTACCCTCCAGGTCTCAGTTTACCATTACTGGTCCAAAGACACTTTCTTCACCTCCCTCATCCTCCTATGGAGCTTATTAAAGTTCCAACATGCCTACAAAACCCTGGAACTGGCTGGTGTTTGTCCACTCATTTTCCTGGCTTCTGAGCTCTGCAGGGGCAGGAATCACATTAATTTAACCTAAGGATCAGCCAGGGACATGACCACAGTAGGTGCTTAGCAAATATTTGTTGGGTGAGTGAACAAAAGGCCTCTGTTTGCAAATAGTAGAAATCATTCATCCCTGGAGCTGTTTAGAGCATTAACAATAAGGAGAGTATTTAGCACACCATGATAGTAATCGTCTCCACATTATTGAAAAATAGTCATTTTCTTGAAGCAGGCACATACACTGAGTTCCCTAAGGATGGCAATAGAAAAAACCATTGTAAACATGGCTGCCATTCATTGTCCTGAAGGGTGTTTTCTACCATTTGTAGGAAGAAAAGGAGAAGAATTGGCGTCCAATGCCCATTTGTTAAAGATTTGCATGAAAAGGGAAATGCAAGTCTGTCTATGTTTCCACATATCCTTCTGTTCTCACAAAGCCCTCCCCTTTTCTGAAAGACATAGCCTCCCTTGTTTCTCCCTTGTTTCTCAGACATGATGTCTGCACTTTCCTCATGCAATTCACACTGAGTTCAGTTGGTAGCCTGGTAAGTGGGGTGTGGGAATGCAGAAAGAAGGTAGGTTCTAATGCTGTGTCTTCAAGAACAGCCAGTCACTTAACCCAGCAGGGGCTGTATGTTTCTTCTCAAACACCATAGATTGGGCTAGTTAAGTGAAATGAGTATTAAGGTTCTTCAGTCTCTAATGAACTCTAAATTGAACTCTAATG